CTTCCTGAAGCATCATCTTCGTGATCACGGAGGCGATCGAGGCATCCAGGCGAGAGCTAGATGGCTGACAGTCGAAGTATAGTGCCGTAAGCACACAAGGACGGTCGCTGAGTTGCAGACTATTAATGCAGAGCAAGCACATCTTTTGGCCCGCTCCTTGTGACCTTCTAGCTTGATCTAGCACCCTATACAAGAGCCCAAATTAAGCCTATATATGCCAGCAGCATCAGTGACAATCCTGATCGACACACAAAATCACTCAGGCAAGGAATGTGGTAGGAGTGGTCGCCAACCCTCTGGAATCTTCAAATGTTTGTTGCCCCGCAAGTATCTAATCACATCCGTCATTCGGCTTTCTTCCCAAAGGTCTGAGAAGATCATCTGCTGGAACATGGTGGCGATGTCAGGCACCTGCAGGAGTACATTATATAGGTAATTAGGTACTTAATGCACTATACACCTACAAACCAGAAACCTTTGTAGGTCCCCTATGATCGAAGAAGAGACAACCCTATACAAAGTCTTTAATTAAGGGCGTATAATTGCATAAGTGTATATAAATCTACGTTCCTAATACATTAGACAGGGCATTCAGGAATATTGGGTTGTATAGGGTTAAAGAGAGCTGCATGCTACGACGAAAAGACCCTGAGACCCTCAATTGGCTACAAACACTGGTGTTGCAAAACCTCTGCTCCCACAGACCCCATTGAGATAATTGAACTTAAAAGGATACCCGAGCCCTGGGGTGCACGACTTTTGATTTAGTTGACTTTAAAGTCTTTATGTACGTTTCCGAGTCCTATGATGAGGCAGCCAATATAGATCTCGGTTTAGGGTCGTGTCAGCTTGTGGGTTTATGAGATTATATATACCAGTATATAAATATATAGATGTATTTATATGTATATTTTGATATATTTGCATGGTTTATTCACATACATATTTGTTTATTTAAGCGGATTCGGGAATACCAGGGGTTGTACAGGGCTTATAAGAGTCATGCAGTTTTGTTTGACTATGATCAGTGGGTTTAGGATCCTTCTGAAGCCTGAGACATCAAAATGCTAGAAGAGGGTATATAGAACCATATACAAAAGCCAGTCAAGCTAAGCACACTTCCATGGGTGACGTAGTCTGATCGCATTAACAACAACACACGTAGTCCTGACAGAAGCCACTCAGTGTGTCGACCCTACTGCTCACCATCCCCATAAGCCCTGTAATACCTTAAGTATATACAGCTGATGAGGTATGTCTGATTATGTGTTTTATTCACTCGGCACTGTTAGAGGTGCTATGGGGCTTGTGGGCCTTCAGGCTTCCAGTTGAAACTTAAGGATGCTCTAGGGTTACAAAACCCCAAGTGACTAAAAGGCCTCGGCTGGAACTTCGGGGTCGAAAGAAGCTTTGGACTCTTGCATCTCCTCGATGAGAGAAGCCACTTGAGCACCAAATGCCGCAGGATAGGTCCTTGATTGGCAGCAGTTCATTTGAAAACCGATGTAAGTCTGCAGTATGGATATCCCAAGCTAGATTCACGTGCACGTATGATGCTAAGCCCCTGACCCTGTCCCCTTCAGGAATTTCGTCCCCACGTATCGTTTCTTCCCCTTGTCATCCTTGTAGTAATAAGCAGACTTAGGAGCTCCTGGCCGGACCTTCTTCTTCCAACCTCGTAGCTTGCCACGACTGAAGCGCCGAATGCACGGTGAGTTCGAGTAAGCGAAATGGCGTTTCGGGGTTGGAGCTCCATAGTGCAACATATACCAGGAAACCCTCCAAATCTTCCACTTCTTGCAAAGATCCCTGAACCGAGGGAAACATTCGAACCAGCTCAGCGCTGGCTGTTCCAGGATGAAGACACCATTGAGGGCCAAGACGATCATGACCAGGAGGCACGTCCTGACAGCTGGGTCACCCGTGAGTGCCATAAAGTAATCATATATATTATACACTACAGGGAACTCCAGAAAGTTGGAATATGGTTTCATGGTAGGATACCCTATGATTTACCATAGAAGGGTTAGGATAATCATATTCCAACTTTCTGGCTTTTACCTTATATAGTCACTACGTACATGGACTGCACTGATATTGCCAACCTCTCCTGGAGGCGAGAACATTCGACTCAACAACACTTTTCTGAGTCGTGTTTCCCAAAGGCACAAGGTAAGACCTCTTCGAGAAGCCCATGTTCATTCTCGTAAAGGACGAACAGACAAGGCCCAGCCAGACCACACATTTGTTCTGCACAGCCGAGAGGACTCCAGCCATCGCTAGCCTAAGTGAGAATCCCATGATACGAACCATCATGCGAAATTATTTCCTGGCTTCAAGCTCACAAGCTGCAGCTGAGTGGAGCACGCCATTCCAGCAGGCGTGAGAAGATCCATGTAGTTTTCGTGCTTGTACGATGTGCAATATGTGATATCGAACTTGCGGGCCTTGTAGCCACATGCTTGCATCCAGAACCTGAGATTGATTCATGCAGCCTCTTGCATCCCTGTGACATTTTCTCGGTAGCTACAAGCTCCTTGCCAACAGAGTCTCATCTGTGCGGATTGGAACATTGTCAGCCCACACCAATAGCAGAATGGCCAAGAACAATACCTGGACATTTAATTTCTTCTCTGAATCGCAGGGCAAGCTTGTGCAATCAACGAAACACGACTGCGCAGGCCTTCGGGGCCTGGAGCTGCTGCAGTCGGTGGAAGAGCACACGAAGTTTGCTCTCGCTCCACATGGCCCTTAAGTACCCTAAATTAACCCCATAAGCCCTCTATATATATACATATATATATATATAAGCCCTAAACCCTCTATATATATATGTATATATATATATACACACACATATAACCCTAAATCCTACATAAACCCTATATGAACCCAAAACCCTGTATATAAACCCCATTAGACGGATAGCTTTTCCATTCGCAATTGACGGGAAATGAAGGACTAAACCAGCTTCTAGCTTACCACATATATAGAGGCTTAATTAGGCTATATTCCGCTATATATCACATAAGAACCCAGACCCCTCTCCAAAGCAAATATCCCCCTAAAGAACTATATAACTCGAATCCAGGAACCCACTAAGGCCCTATAGAGCAAGCTAGTGAAGCCACACTGCCCAAAGCTCGAATCATAAACTGCGATGTTGAAACACAGCAGCACAATCGCACAGCTTTGACTGTATTTAACAGGAATGGCCCATTGAGAAACCAAATATATCTGTTTATGTGTGTATACATACACACATATATATATATATATGTGTGTGTATGCTTAGACATGCATGCACACATACCTATATATACATACATAATACACATGCATGCATGCATGCATATGCACACACCTACATACACATGTGTACGTATATTCATGTACATGCATGTTACATACATGTGCATAACTGAGCATACATATGAACATGCTTGCACACATATACCTATGTAGATACATATGCAAACACCCACACCCACACATGCATGCATGCATCATCGTATATACAATCATAAAACTTCTTTGTTAAAAGCACACATGCACATACATATATTTGCAGATATTCTTGCGCCTGGGTATGTAAAGTGTCATAGACCCTGATTGAACGTTTTCTGAATTCCACACCGGATCCCAACATCAAAAAAACATCCACATAAGCAAATGCTGAAGCTTGAACCATGTTACCCCACGCCCCCCCCCCCCGCCCCCAAATGTTAACCTTGCGACACAAAGGACACACCACAAACGACCAGTTAATGGGTAACCCAAACCATGTCGGCTGCTCGAATGTTGGGCTCTGCGTGCCCGATCGAAGATTCCAGCACTCGGCCCTTGAGGGACTTCGGCACAGGCATCGACCTGCATAGTTATGCAAATCATTCTGAACAAGAATACACGTGGTGCTACTGAAACTTGCTTCTCCTAAAGGAAATCAGCACTCTGATGGCATCACGAATTGAGTGACTTGCACTACAGATCCAGGACACACCCGAATCGACTTAAATCGTTGCATGGGCCCGGCCTGCAGGGTAAAATCCACAAGCCTCATCCAGCGACTTCAGCACGATCACCGGGGAGACCTGCGCCAACAGTCCACAACACGTTCAAATGACACACGTATGCTGGCAGAAGTGCTTCTCGCAAGTTGGACTCTCTTTCAGCACAATGGCACAAAGAACTCGATCGGATTCATTTTCACGGCAGCGGTGTTTGGAACGATCCAATCTCGCAAGTCGCTATGCTTGTGAGGTAATGAAAACGAATGGCTCGATCAGCAACAGACGTGTTGCAAGCTTGCTTCCCACTCATGCGCCCTGCAGCTGAAGATTGCCACACCAGCAACCCAATGCTACATAGGTGATGATAAATCAGCAAACATGTGTTTGTAACGACATTCACCAGCTGCACTGAATCACAACATTGGGGTAATCTTCACACCGCAGACTATGCACATGAATCCCATGCAAACAGCCTAGGCACATCCATTATGAGCAAGCCAGTTCGCTGGCCCCGGCACACACCGAAACACCAAAATTCAGGATGTGGCTTTGCCACATTTGGGAAGCTCCCACTTCGTGGCCAGGTCCTTCATCTCTTGCTTTTTTGCATAAAGAAACTGGGCCACATATTGATTATCATCCTCATGGCCATGCTCATCCAGCACCTTTGCCTTGGTAAGTGCGTGGTTAATCGCTCGATCTGCATTTATCATCTCTCTCTCTCTCTCTCTTTCTCTCTCTGTCTCTCTCTCTCTCTCTCTCTCTCTCTCTCTCTGTACCCAACTCAATTGCCAGCCACTGAACTCTCAAGCATGAAACAGCTGGGGCACACATGCCACTGCAGCATTCACCAGATGGGTCACGGATACACCCTTCGTCCCGAGGTAGAAAACCTGCACCACGTGGCAAATCCAGACAAACGACGTAGTAAACAACGAAAATCACATCCTGACATTATATAATCTATAGAACTGAACAGCCTGCTTCGAGTCAGCATTCTTCTTGATGCCAACACCAGGCCGTGACCAATAAACCATCAAAGTGTAATTGTTCAGGGTGCCATTGGTCTTCAAGATGAGACCCTTGCAACGGGTCTTTTCCTTGGCAACATATGAGCACACATATCTTGATTGAACCACAACATCCATCATGCAATGAATCTCTCATCCTCTCTGCACACACAACGAAAACCACAACATATCTGGGTCTAGATGCCTCCTCTTCTGGGGAAACGCCCTGCGCTAGCGCCTCTGCCTTGCTCCTTGCCAAAGCCTTCCCTTGCTCGAGGGTCTCGGCAAGGCCACTCTTCCTCCTTTTGCGTCGCCCTGCAGCCTGCTCCTCATCGCACACATCCGGAGCTTTGTTCTTCTTGCCTGCCCTTGCAGGCTGTGCATCCCCCTCCTCAGGCACAGCAACACCTGCTGCTCCCTTGCCTGCTTGCTTTCCACGGACTCGCTTCACAGGGGTCGGGTTGATCTGCTCTTGATTTGCTGCCCTCTTCTGGCCCCGGCCGCCCCGACCCCTACCGCCCCGACCCCTGCCACCACCTCGGGCCCTTCCACCACCACAGGCTGGGGCCGATGGCGTGGGCTCCTCACCCTCAGCTCCCTGCTCACATTCATCCCCAGCCACAGGAGGCTCCTTTGGTTCAGCGGCCTGTTTTTTGGCCTTGCTCTTAGCAGCTGTCCTCCGAGTCTTCTTATCTGCAATCTCTTCATTGTGAGCATTATTTTCTTTCTCTTTCTTCTTCAGCTCCTTCTCTTCTTTATCTTTCTTCTGCTGCAGCTTCTTGGCCTCGGCCTCAGCTTTTCTCTGCTGCCGAGCTAAAAGTTGGTCCTCCCGAGTCACAACCTGAGATGCTCAGAAACAGCACAGCATTCACAGTCAACACAAGGAAACACAGTAACATGACATGGTTCTACATTCAGCCATTTGGCAGGTGGATCAGGCACAACTGGCACAAGAGATTCAACCGCCTTGGCCCTTGCAAGCTCCGGCTCCTTCTCCATATCATCCTGGGTATGTCTAGCATCGTGTCCAACACATGATGAATTTTTTTCATTCTAGTAAGCACCACACTACACCACTTTTTTTCACGTGCACTTATACAACAACTAGTCTACACACGTATACAACAGCTATACCAGTAGTCCCAAGGAGCCCTAGCAGGCTTTGTAAGAAAACATCCAAGCCATGTATATATAATGCATGTATATAAAGTTAAAACCATAATATACCCCATGCGAGCATAACCTTGTATGTATTCTGTATATAGTGTTGTATGGTCCCAGTGTTAGCCCCCACTAAAATAATGACTTGTTTGATTACAAATCTTTTGAATGACCTTGTATTGCACATGATGATTAACAAAGCTGGCTGACCCGCTTGGTTGCTGGACTAGTCTCACTCGGGACCCTTTCAGGAGTCTTGTCCTTTGCAGCCTGTGCCATTGCTTCCGTGATCTGGCTCTCGGTAGCCACCTGCGTCTCATCATTGTCATTGGACCAGGCGAGCTCACGTCCTCAAATTAACACAAATCAGACTGTCATCATGCTCTCACATCAGCTGAACCCAAATGAGCTTTCTTTCGAGAACACCCATCAAGATCCAAGGTTCGGGAAATCTGGCTCGGATCCGGCTTCCCGCGCGAAGTCTCCAAGTGTAAACTTGGCTGTGTAATGAGTCGAAGACAAACCATAAAGTTCAAAATACATGTCAACACATGCACCTCATGGCTACGAATCCACAAACATGACATAGTATGAGCTCAGAAACAGCTCTGCTTCAAGCTTCGCCAACTCCCGCAAAGCTGCCTCTCGGTCAAAGGCATCCGTCTCAGCCAAAACATCAGCCAGGGTCTTGTCCACGGGCTCCTGCTTAATGACCTTTTTAGGTGAGTCTACCACCAGCAACACCTCCTTGACGAGCACAGGCAACGAGGGAGGGGATGGCGTGATCTGCCCATTACCTGCTTCTGAAAAGCACTTGTGCTTGGGATCTGGAGTCTCTAGAACCGTCGTCGCCAGCGATGCACTGCTTGCCAAACTACCAATGGACCTCGAACTGTCAGTATGAATGACACCAGGCTTCTCATGGCTTTGCATGGGCTTGCTGGGCGGCTTCTCTGCATGGCTTTGCACGGGCTCGCTGGGGGGCTTCTCTGCATTGCTTTGCATGGGCTCGCTGGGGGGCTTCTCTCCATCGCTTTGCACGGGCTTGCTGGGTGGCTTCTCTGCATGGCTTTCCTCCACACATGGAGGCTCAACCACCTCATCATTTTCCCAATCCTCCTCCTCCTCTCCTTCATAACCCTCTTGCATTGCATCATGAAGGCCTGCGGCTTCGTCCTCCTCAGCCCGAGCTTCAACCTCTTTGCAACTCCAACGGGTGCACTTTCCGCCCTTTGGATACTTGTCCTTACATGATATTTGTTCATGAACTGCATGCTGCCTACACTGCAAGGACATTGACAATGCACTCCTTCAACCATGGTGTTGCAGGCAAGAATCTTCATCGCCCCAGTAGCTCAGCAGAATGGCGAAGTCCGGATTCTGGGCATCAAAAACAGCAACGATGATCCAGCAGCATATAGCTCAACACTACACTCGAAACAGTATTGCAGGAAAGTCTCTTTAACCTTTGCACCCTGCTTCAAGAACCGAGCCCGAGCATAAGACAGAAGGCGTTTCATGGTCTTGGCATCAAGATGGCAATTTCCTTCAACCAAAGCCATGCTGGCTTCAAGCACAGCCTTTGGCTGTTTCTTCCCATGCTTCTCCTTCTGTGCAAGCCGGGCCTGATACAAAGCCTTCAACTCTGATTTCAACGACTCAACATCTGGAATGTCAAGGGTTTTCTCTCGGCGTTGCCGAATCATGTATGGAGTCAGCAAGGCTTTGTTATGCACACAATGCAATTCAGAAGCACTGACAAAGAGCCCATAATAGGACCGAACCAAACGCCCTCCGGCATCCAGCCGTTGAGCGATCTCCCTGTCCCGCAGCCATGCGGTATGGAGGTTTTCCAGGGAAGCGAATTTAGCCATGGTCCTTCAAAGGAGCACTGCACTATGACACTGCAAAGTCGAACTAGCACCACATCCCTCAACTCAGCACTCCGAAACTCGAATTGTCACCGCATTGCTCGAAACTAGCTAACTGCTTGTCTATACATGCTGCTGCAACTTGTACCTGAGCATGCCAGCTGTGAGGAGAACAGCTGCAAACTGGAGTTTGTCAACCAAGGCAGCAACCCATTTAGCAAATCAAGCGCCACAAGGACTGACTGCACCACAGCAAGCATGGGGGAGGGCGCACCTCCAAACGTCTGAATTCTGAATTCTCTCGGCCATGACCAGCATGCCGACGACTAATTAGGCTTCGGTGCGGCTTTGCTATGTAAGTCTGTCCAGTTTATGAGAGCTCTATATAGGAGACTAAATATATTTGGAGCCATATACAGGGGGAACGGACCCCCTGTATATTCAGGCTTTTTTTTTTATATATTAAGGTCTATACATAGAAGATCTTCTAAGGGGTTTGTACAGGTTTCAATATTTCAGGGCTTCCATAGTCTTCCGAACGGCTGTTACAGGCTCAGAAAGGGCTATATCGGGCTTCTATAGGGTTCAGAACCGCTGTTACAGCCTCAGACAAAGCTATAAATATATAACTTTAAACTCATTCATAGGGCTAGAATGGCTGATCTTTAGTATATTTTAAGGGTTTGGGTTCACCTCTCTTCTTGCAGCCGAAGCTGAGACAATGCGGCGGATTGCGCAGCCACCTCAGCGATTATGGCCCCTAATTTATGCATATATATATATACATACATAAACTCAATCAAACCCAGCCGGAATGACCCTGGAATCTGAAATGCACCCTCACAGACACGAAGCATAAAACGCCCCAGCGGGAAAAGTAAACCAAACCCTCGAACACAAAAAAGTAATCCAGCGGAGAAAGTAAACCAAATTAAAAAATTCTAGATATTTTCCTCGGAATGAAAAAAAGTAGACACACGCACTTACTGGTAGGGTTTAGGGTTTAGGGGTTTAGGGTTTAGGGTTTTTCGCTGCGAGTGCGCTGTCGACCCCTCCATGAAGTGGTTGGGGTCGGCGCATGAGCTGCAATGCCCGCCCTCCCACCCTAATTTCAAACCTTGAACGGGTTTAGGGTTGTCTACCCCCCCAACCCCCCCTAGCAAGGGGGGCTTATATGGTTTGGAAGCAACAACAACAAACAACTTTTCCACAACGCCAAAGTGACAATCTCCAGGCGCAAAGTGACAATCTCCAGGCCCCAAAGTGACAATCTCCAGGCCCCAAAGTGACAATCTCCAGGCCCCAGAGTGACAATCTCCAGGCCCCAAAGTGACCCAAAGGGCCTTCTGGGTGGCTTCGGTGGGCTTGTGGCCTCTGGGGCCTTTGCAGGGTTTACGGGGGAGGACCTTCTGCAGGCTTTGTGGGGGCCTTCTGGAGACCTTCTGGACACCTTTTTGCCCACCTTCAAAACTACTTAAAACCTATTGAAACAGCTACAAAAACCAGATAAAACTTTAAAAAACCATTCTGAGCCTTTAAGAACCTCGCAAAACCTGCAAAAACCTCAACCAGACCAGGCCAACTTTTCCACAACACCAAAGTGAAAAACTCCAGGCGCAAAGTGACAATCTCCAGGCCCCCAAGTGACAATCTCCAGGCCCCAGAGTGACAATCTCCAGGCCCCAAAGTGACCCAAAGGGCCTTCTGGGTGGCTTCGGTGGGCTTGTGGCCTCTGGGGCCTCTGCAGGGTTTACGGGGGAGGACCTTCTGCAGGCTTTGTGGGGGCCTGCGCTAGGCTCTGGGTCCTTAATTTTAATTAGGTCCGGTTAATTTTAAGCTCCGGGCCTTTAAGTTTAAGCTCCGGGTCCTTAATTTTAGGTCCGGTCCTTATTTTAAGCTCCGGTGCCTTAATTCTAGCTTGGCCCTTAATTACGGGCCCTTAATTTTAGGCTCCGGGTCCTTGATTTTAGGTTTGGCCTTAATTTTACGCTCCGGGTTCTTAATTTTCGGCTCCGGGTCCTTAATTTTAAGGTTCTTTAAAGGCAGCAAGGAGGAATCCAGGGGTCCCCGCCCATTTGCACCAACGTTTACCGGGGCCCAGAAATCTGGAAAATTGCTGCTGATTTTGCCTTGTTAAGTTCTTTATATAAAATGTGCATTTTAATGAGGGCCAAGTGCCCAAGTCGAGGTCCCCCTCTTTCTTTTCGTGTGGCTCCACTAAACTCCGCCCTGGGACTCCTCGGTCCAGGGCTCGGAACCGTCCCTGAGCTTAGGATCGAAAAATGGACCCTCCAGTGCTCGTGTGTGCCTAAAGGGGTCGGGGCCACATTCTGCAGCAAAACAGGGCCGTTCTTTTCGTATGCTGCCACTAAACCATCCAGTGTCCATGTGTGCCCAAAGCGGTCAAGGCCACATTCTGCAGCAAAACAGGGCCGTTCTTTTCGTGTGGCTCCACTAAACTCTTCCTTGCCCTCCAAAAATCTGGAAAATCGCTGCTGATTTTGCCTTGTTAAATTCTTTATATAAAATGTGCATTTTAATTAGGGCCAGGTGCCCAAGTCGAGGTCCCCCTCTTTCTTTTCGTGTGGCTCCACTAAACTCTGCCCTGGGGCTCCTCGGTCCAGGGCTCGGAACCGTCCCTGAGCTTAGGATCGAAAAATGGACCCTCGAGTGCTCGTGTGTGCCCAAAGGGGTCGGGGCCACATTCTGCAGCAAAACAGGGCCGTTCTTTATGTGTGCCGCCACTAAACCATCCGGTGTCCATGTGGGCCCAAAGCGGTCAAGGCCACATTCTGCAGCAAAACAGGGCCGTTCTTTTCGTGTGGCTCCACTAAACTCTTCCCTGCCCTCCAAAAATCTGGAAAATCGCTGCTGATTTTGCCTTGTTAAATTCTTTATATAAAATGTGCATTTTAATTAGGGCCAGGTGCCCAAGTCGAGGTCCCCCTCTTTCTTTTCGTGTGGCTCCACTAAACTGTGCCCTGGGGCTCCTCGGTCCAGGGCTCGGAACCGTCCCTGGGTCTTTAATTTAAGGCTCTTCAAAGGCAGCAAGGAGGAATCCAGGGCCGCCCGACCATTTGCACCAAGGTTTACCGGGGCCCCAGAAAGGAGGAATCCAGGGCCGCCCGGCCGTTTGCACCAAGGTTTAGGGTTATTACTTTATAGGCTGACAGTAGCGGCCTATTCACTGGAGCCGCGTGGACCTGAGGTCCAGGACCTACGGCTCGCTTTTCAGCCATCGCCTACGGTCCGGCAGGCGCCTTCCGGTCCGCCTGCTGCGGCCGACCCCATTCGCTGCGGTGGGGGGTCGGCCTTCAGTTTAGGGTTTAGGGTTTAGGGTTTAGGGTTTAGGGTTTAGGGTTTAGGGTTTAGGGTTTTCGCTGCGAGTGCGCTGTCGACCCCTCCATGAAGTGGTTGGGGTCGGCGCATGAGCTGCAATGCCCGCCCTCCCACCCTAATTTCAAACCTTGAACGGGTTTAGGGTTGTCTACCCCCCCAACCCCCCCTAGCAAGGGGGGCTTATATGGTTTGGAAGCAACAACAACAAACAACTTTTCCACAACGCCAAAGTGACAATCTCCAGGCGCAAAGTGACAATCTCCAGGCCCCAAAGTGACAATCTCCAGGCCCCAAAGTGACAATCTCCAGGCCCCAAAGTGACCCAAAGGGCCTTCTGGGTGGCTTCGGTGGGCTTGTGGCCTCTGGGGCCTTTGCAGGGTTTACGGGGGAGGACCTTCTGCAGGCTTTGTGGGGGCCTTCTGGAGACCTTCTGGACACCTTTTTGCCCACCTTCAAAACTACTTAAAACCTATTGAAACAGCTACAAAAACCAGATAAAACTTTTAAAAACCATTCTGAGCCTTTAAGAACCTCGCAAAACCTGCAAAAACTTCAACCAGACCAGGCCAACTTTTCCACAACACCAAAGTGAAAAACTCCAGGCGCAAAGTGACAATCTCCAGGCCCCCAAGTGACAATCTCCAGGCCCCAGAGTGACAATCTCCAGGCCCCAAAGTGACCCAAAGGGCCTTCTGGGTGGCTTCGGTGGGCTTGTGGCCTCTGGGGCCTCTGCAGGGTTTACGGGGGAGGACCTTCTGCAGGCTTTGTGGGGGCCTGCGCTAGGCTCCGGGTCCTTAATTTTAATTAGGTCCGGTTAATTTTAAGCTCCGGGCCTTTAAGTTTAAGCTCCGGGTCCTTAATTTTAGGTCCGGTCCTTATTTTAAGCTCCGGTGCCTTAATTCTAGCTTGGCCCTTAATTACGGGCCCTTAATTTTAGGCTCCGGGTCCTTGATTTTAGGTCTGGCCTTAATTTTACGCTCCGGGTTCTTAATTTTCGGCTCCGGGTCCTTAATTTTAAGGTTCTTTAAAGGCAGCAAGGAGGAATCCAGGGGTCCCCGCCCATTTGCACCAACGTTTACCGGGGCCCAGAAATCTGGAAAATTGCTGCTGATTTTGCCTTGTTAAGTTCTTTATATAAAATGTGCATTTTAATGAGGGCCAAGTGCCCAAGTCGAGGTCCCCCTCTTTCTTTTCGTGTGGCTCCACTAAACTCCGCCCTGGGACTCCTCGGTCCAGGGCTCGGAACCGTCCCTGAGCTTAGGATCGAAAAATGGACCCTCGAGTGCTCGTGTGTGCCCAAAGGGGTCGGGGCCACATTCTGCAGCAAAACAGGGCCGTTCTTTATGTGTGCCGCCACTAAACCATCCGGTGTCCATGTTTTGCCCAAAGCGGTCAAGGCCACATTCTGCAGCAAAACAGGGCCGTTCTTTTCGTGTGGCTCCACTAAACTCTTCCCTGCCCTCCAAAAATTTGGAAAATCGCTGCTGATTTTGCCTTGTTAAATTCTTTATATAAAATGTGCATTTTAATTAGGGCCAGGTGCCCAAGTCGAGGTCCCCCTCTTTCTTTTCGTGTGGCTCCACTAAACTCTGCCCTGGGGCTCCTCGGTCCAGGGCTCGGAACCGTCCCCGGGTCTTTAATTTAAGGCTCTTCAAAGGCAGCAA